CAACAGATGTTGGAAGAACATTTAGGCCGCAACCTCGCCGGCCAAATGTATGGCATTCATTCCAGTACACTGCAGGAAGAGCAATACCCAACTAGGACCCAACAAAGGCGTTTCCAGTGAAACTATGGACGGATGATGAGGCAGCAACAAGGAATGCCACATCCTAAAGTGCCTCTACTACTCAAGGTAGCCAATCAAAACGTCCTCAAAGGTAGTAAAGAAACTGGTACAGATGAATCAATGAAAGAACTGCCAGAGACCTCTTCTGGGAGATCAAGGTTTGAGAGAGATAAAAGGGATGAAGAAGATCCAGATGAGCCCCTTGCTATCCAATTCGGTACGTTGCCTCCTGTCATGGCCAATAATTACCTACTGGCCAAGGAGTTCAAAAATAAGGAAAAAGAAGAAGAGAGGGAGGACAACGACGTGAATCAGAGAACAGAAGGGGGTTGTAGGTTGAGGAGTTAGAGATCCTTTAATCCAAGGCCTGAAAGCGCTCTAGAGAGATCTCTAACGGAGAGTTTAACTTGTAGAAGGTACTATGGCATTAGGAGATACTTTAAAAAAAAATAAAAACAAAATCCAACATAAATTTCTACTCATCTGTTTTTCTTAGCCAAACTTCAGGGTTTGGTGCAACATAACAGTGTTAACAAAGAAATACAATAGGGATAAAGGACTTAAGTTTATAAAAGTTACATAATTGAATACCAAACTTAGGTAAAATAGAATAAACCCTCTAGTTATTGAAAAGATTTTCTCAATCACTTAGCATCCCACCACTGTCCATCAACGAATTTGTTCCTCAAGTATGTGAAAGCTAAAAACAGTTATAGATCTCTGTATTTTCTGATAAAGCAGCAAGCAACTGGCCAGAAAACTCTACACTCTAAAAGCCAGTGAAAACAGTGTGAATTGCAACGAGAAGAAAGTTGCCTTATATATAGGAAATCATACATTGTGTTTTATAATCTTTATCATTATTTCTTGAAATTCGTGATTACGTTAGAAGCATTAAGCTTTTGAAATTAGTGGCTTCTTGGATAGGGGCAGTGTTCATATCTTTTTCTTAATTGTAACATAATTCAAGTTATTGTTTTGTCTCAAATATTCTCAGATTGTTCGCTGTAACTCTTTTCTCTTTAACTCGCTTCTTGTTCTTCTTCAGATTAAGCTTGCTGAGTTCAAATCTTAAATCTTACACCACAATCCAAAGCCAAGCAGATACCAAAAATACTTGGCCTTAAAATCTTTCACCCTAATTTGTTACCCAGCTCTATTGGCCATAAGGTTTCAAGTAAATAAATAAATTCTTTTGGCAAATTAATCCTATAATCTCCTAAATCCTCTATCAATTGAAAAATCCGGCATATTTTCTATAAAAATAGTGTGCAATGAACTAGAAAAGCCAAAACTCTTTCAGCATATAAATATCCCCACAATAAAATCCTCAATTTTATCCTCTACTATAATTTAAGTAACTGGAAGTTAAATCGAACTACATTAGCTGCACATGAATATGTATATCAATTATCAACAGTATAACCACTAGAGCACGATGTACCACCACTAGAGCACGATGTACCACATGCTGACTCCATACCCAAATTACTGCCTCTGAGAGATTTTGTGACTACCATTTTCATTTGCCAACAAAAGAAAAAAAAATGTACCTGTGCAGCTGGAACTGGGATTTGTCTGTGAAATCCCCAGAACACCCTCAATAGCTTTCGCATCCCCAGTTTCCCCCTCTATTTCCACCTCAAAATCCACTGGCACCTCCACCATTAAACTCGGTGCAGTGAATTCAAGAAAACCCAAATATACGAAGGGAGAGTCAAACACAAATAAAGAGTTTTTTTTTCACTTATTTTGTTGCTTAAAAAAAAAGTTTCGGAATATTTTATTCTTGTGATTCTTCATGCATACATGCAAGAAAGATATGAATGCGTATTGTCTGAAAGTAAAAGAGAAGTGGGGCGGCAAGGAACAGGAAAGGTGATATTCCCTTCTTTTTCAAGAACAAATTGTACAAGAAATATGAAGGTGGTTATATTCCTCTTTTTTCTTTTTTCTTTTTTTGTAACTTATTTTCATCTTTTGCTTGTTTGATGATTTGTTGGAGAGAGTTTGAAAAGAACATCCGAAGGACACGTTACGGACGAAATCCGTGTAGGTAGGCCACCTGCAATTACCAGATTGGCTGCACGTGTACGCTTACGGTTCCATTTTGTAATTTTTCTCTTGCAAATTTGTCTCTATTTAATGTCCAATATTCTCTTAAGTCATAACTAACTTGACATTTTAGGGAAAATTTATCGTATTTTATTTATAAAAGATATTTAGTCCATTAAAAATAGAAGTTGAGGTATTCATACTCATCAAGACCTTTGTATAGACTAATTATCTAAAACGTGTTTTACATGTTGTATAGGCAAAAAAAAGAGTATTATTATTTGTGGAGATGAAATTTGATCACGGTTGGCTATGAAATAGGGTGGGTGAGCTTGATTGGCAGGGTGAACATTTTAATTGGAAACAAACCTTTCGAAATGAAAACCAAGTTTCGATTTAGTTCCAAAAATTAGGAATAGGAATCAATAATTGATCAGGTAACAAATATTTTAAAACTAGAACAGTAGGTACCCAACTCATGAATTTGTCATGTTTTATCCTCTTTTTTTCCACAATTTATTCACTCAATTACCCAACCCAACATATAGCAAGTTTACAAGCGTCAAGTAATAAATATCCAAATCAATCAGATTCATTCATGTGAATATAACAAATTATTACTTTCGTTTGTATCCATTCATGACCACACATTACGCATTGTCTGTCACACAAACCCTTTTTAGGAATGCCATACATAAAGCTACAATTGAAATTGGACGCTATCATACTAGGTATTGGAATCTATTTTGTGGCATATTTGCAATTGATTAAGAAAATTTTGAAATATATATTAGGATTTAGGTGTCATGCTTTACTTCTATTTTTGCTAATACTGAGAATTAAATTTGTATTGATGGCCAAAGGCTACTTGGAAAGATGTGATGAATAGAGCAAACTCGAATTGAAATTGACTATTCAGTTTCAATAATTATGTGGATCTAAATGGCTTCCTTTGCAAAATACTCGATGTGTGTGTGTGTTTTCAAATGTTGAAATTTCTAGATCAACACAGTCAACGCCAAGCCATTGGTTAAGGAACGTGCAATGTTCATTTTATCTAATCTTTACGATTTTTATAAGTTTTTATTATTTTATTGCTTTCTTTTATTTTTGTTTATTTGAAGAGGATGGCAAATATATCATTCTATGATCAAATGGAGCGAATGATGAATTTTGCTACATAATTAAACGAATGGGGATGGATTATGCTAAAAGAAACATTGAAGGAAGATTTCTCATATATTGCATAGGTTAGGGATGAAAAGTGCAAATCAACCCCCCCACCCCCAAAAGAAATTAATTAATTAATTAAAAGAAATGGTACAACCTTTCCATTTTCATGAACTTTACTAAGGTGTTATTCGACAAAGCTTTTCGATAATAGTTGATGAAATTCGTGATTGAAAAATTGATAAAAATTGTGAGTTTTACGAAATGTGTAGTTGTTGACTTTAACCTTCAATTTTTATCAACTTTTTAAACTCTCCCAAACAAGTACTAAAGATGAACTGTAATGAGGAACTTTATTAAGTCAACCAAACTCTCCAATATCAAATGCTTGCCAGATAAAATTGAGAATCAAAACTAAATTAATGAGGTTTTAAGTTTCGAGCGATATCTATAGAATTTAAAAGTTGTTGTCAACTCACTTTGTTAATAAAGTATTATTCTTGTGTAGTTGTCTACGATTTGTCAAACTAAATTTAATGTATATTTTTCTCTTTTAAGATCAATTTTTATATTTATTTTTCGTTGCATTTGTCACGTGTTTGATAAAGTATTTGATACTTCCCATTGTTGACACATAAAAATTCAGCTCAAATCGAACAGTTCAAGGAGTGAAACTCAATTGGAGGATCCCCAAATCAGATAGCCCAAAGAACGAAGCCCAATCAAACAAATCAAAATGAAGGCCCAAGAACGCGGTAACGCCATCACCCAAGTTTGCAAGTCGCCCAGAATCTGAACGAATGGAGTGTCATACGGTCGCCCAGAGCTGTTATTCTACTCTCGTCCAAACCCTCAAGTCGCCCAAGGTATCAACAAACATAACGCGTCGTGGTTATCAAGAAATGCAGTTATCAAAGCGGTTATTAAAGCAACCCTATCACGTTCCACGATTCAAGGAATTCAATTGAAAGCGGTTGAACGATGAAGAGTAATGGCAGCAGTTAAAAAAGGCAGTTTTCACGACAAGTTGGCCATTACGAAGAAGGTGGGCAGTTATAGGACGATCAAGCAGTTTTTAGGGCAGTTGATCACAAAGAGATCGTCCATGAAGTATAAAAGGGAAAAAGAACATAGAAGCAAAAGACCGAATCCAAAACTCTCGAACAGAGAATATGTAATTTTCATTTCTTTCGCTTTTAGACTTAAACACTTCCTTTTCTGTAACTCGTGTGCTTGCGCCCCTTGGAGGAACGTTGTTTTCCGTTTCTAATTGTAAAGTTCATCGCCAATAAAAGGAACACCCCTTTTTGGGACTTTGTCTCAAGAGGTTTCGTCCCTTACACAATCGTCTGATCCTCTTTAATTGTTAACGAATTAACACGCGCGAAACAATTCTGTATTTAAAGAAATATCTGCTAGTGTCATCTATTTTGAATCTGCTCATGACATTTGGATTGATCTGAATGAGAGATATCAACAGAGAAATGGACCGTGCATATTCCAATTGAGGCATGAACTAATGAACCTCAATCCTCTGTTAGCACATATTTTACCAAATTGAAAAATATTTGGAAAGAATTAAGTATTATAGACCCGTTCATTCTTGTGGAAAGTGCAATTGTGTGAGAAATAAGAAACTAGCTGAGCACTACCAAATGGAGTATGTCATGTCTTTTCTGATAGGGTTAAATGAATCATTTGCTCAAGTCAGAGGGCAATTAGTCCTAATAGATCTTATTCCTCCAATAAATAAAGTTTTCTCTCTTATTTCTCAAGAGGAACATCAAAGGAGTGTTAATGCCAGCACCAATATCTCTAGTTCTACTGATTCCATGGCCTTTTATTCCAAAGCTGATCCCAAAATGACTGATACAGGACAATTGCATAAGAAGAAAAGGTGTATATGTACTTACTGCGATTATATAGGCCATGCTATGGATAAATGCTACAAGTTGCATGGATATCCTCCAAGATATAGAGATGGCAACATGACAGGTTTGGGGTGGGGGCCGGGCAATTTCCCGCCCTATACCCTCCCATTACCCATCTAAGGCGGAACGAGGCCGAGCCTTTGCTCCTTTTATGTACCTATTTATTTATTTATTTTTTTTTTGATAATTCATTTTATTGTCCCCATTTATTAAAATTGGACAATAAAATAGTTATTAAATTTTTTTATTAATTTATTAATTTTTAAAAGTTAAATTATTCGAATATATTTGGTAAATCAAGGTTTTTATTGTTTATCATATTTATTATATAATTTTAGTTGTCATCTTCTATTAGAATTAATGAAATTTCTTGAAGTTTTTTTCATTTAAAATATTAAATTCTTAAAAAAAAATCAAACGGAACAGTGCGGGATGAAGCCCCTGTTATCCATACCCGACCCGCATACTCGATTAAGCGAGTAATCCCCGCCCCTACCATCCCTACAAAGATATAAGACCAAACAGAAATTTGCATCTAGGAGCAGATCAGGTGTCAACAATCAGTCCAATCCTATTATTGCTAATCAAATTTCTGAATCTATTTCAGATCAAACTCAGGGCAATGTTGGAGACTTCATACAGACTCTGAATCCTGCATAGTATTTGTGTCTGACGAACATGTTGAGTAGTTATTTGGCATCTACAAAGGCTGATGCAACAGGTGATGTACATTCTAATCAAGTGTCAGATATATGTTTCTCCATTTCTCTCAATCCATTGCTCAATTCTCCTGGACATTAGGTGGTGGACTTAGGAGCTACTAGCTAGCTATATCCGTTTCAATTACTCAGCCTTTAACATAATGAAATCAGCACAAAATTCATTTGTTACATTGCCAAACCATATGAGAACTCCAATAAAGTTCAGCGGTACCGATAAAATTGCTCCTAATCTAATTTTTCAAGATGTGTCATATGTCCCACAATTCAAATTCAATTTGATGCCAGTTAGCTCTCTAAATAGGAATACACATATAGAGGTCAATTTTCTACTGATTCATGAATTATTCAGGATTTGTACAGCTTGAAGATGATTGGTAAGGGTAAAAGAGTTGCCGATTTGTGCATAGCGAGTACTGACTCATCCAATCTAGTACAAAGTAACTGCAGAAATTCATTTGAAAATGCTTTTATTTATGTTTCTTCAGCTATAAATAATGTGAGTGCTCATACTTGGCATTACAAGCTTGGCCATTTATCTTTTCAGAAGTTAGATATGTTAAGAGAGCAATTGCATTTGGCTTGTAATAGATACAATAACTATAATTCATTACCTTGTTCTATTTGTCCTTTAGCCAAATAGAGGAGGCTTTCTTTTACATCCAGCAATCACATATCTTTTAATGTATTTGACTTGGTTCATTGTGATACTTGCTAACCTTAACATGTTCCAACACATTCTAGACAGATATTTTCTGACACCGGTGGATGATTGCACACAATTTTATATGGGTTTATCTCATGAAACATAAAGTTAGAAGTTCACGCCATCATTCCTAGGTTATTTAAGATGATTGAAACACAATTTCATACATCGATCAAGAAATTCAGGTCAAACAATGCACCTGAGTTACAGTTTGTTGAGTTTTTCAATTCCACAGAAGTAATTCACCAATTTTCTGATGTAAAGAGGCTTAAAATAAATTCAATGGTAGAAGGAAAGCACCAACATCTTCTCAATGTGGCTAGAGCTGTGTACTTTCAAGCTCGATCACTAATTTAGTTTTATAAATCTCCAGTGGATTATAGTACACTTAGAGTATTTGGAAGTTTATGTTTTGCAGCCACCCTACCTTCCCACAGATCAAGGTTTCATCCCAGAGCTAGAGCCTGTGTATTTATTAGGGATGTCAAACGGGCCGAGCGGCTCGTCGGTTCAATCACTCGACTCGTTAAAACTTGGCTCGTAACAAGTTCGAGCCGAGCAAGGGGCTCAATCCCACGAGTCGAGCCGTGACGGCCCACGAGCCAAAATTCTCGTAAAAAATGTGCAAATTTACAAAAAAAAAAAATAAAAAAAATTAAAACAATCACGAGCTCGTGGGCTCGGCATGGCTCGGCTTGATCCCCGAGCTCGTGGGTCGAGCAGAACTCAGCTCGCCACGAGCCCGAGCCTAGCTCGTGGATTAAAGGGCCGAGTCGGCTCGGCTCGGCTCGGGTCGGCTCCATTGTTATCCCTAGTATTTATTGGTTATCCTCCTAGAATAAAAGGTTATAGATTGTATAATATCATGTCTCAGTCCTTCTTAATCTCCAAATATGTCATTTTCCACGAACATATATCTCCATTTCACTCCATTCCTCATAAATCTAATAGCATTTATCTTTTCTCAGATTTTTTTTTACCTCATTTTGCTTCTGATGTTCCCACTTGCTTCCTTCCTAACATACCACCTCATGCAGTCCTAAATGAGGATGGAAATCGCTCATCTGCCTTGCAATCTATTCCACCTTCCATCAATAACCACTGCTTTCAAAAAATTACCTAGAGTAAGTAATCCTCCTCCATATCTTAGGAATTTTTATTGTAATCTGTTAACAAATTTTTATTGTAATCTGTTTCATGAGTCTTTTTCTCTTTCACACTATAATTTCCTCTTATCTGTGCCATCACACTTTGAACCACAATTTCACCACCAAGTTTTGAAGTTCGATCATTGGAAAGATGCTATGGCATCTAAATTGAATGCTATGAAAATGAATAACACTTGGTCTATCACAACATAGCCTAAGGGCAAACAATCTATAGGCAGCAAATAGGTCTATAAAATTAAGTATAGATCAAATGGTAGTATAGATAGATATAAGGCCGATTTGGTTGCAAAAGGGTATTCTCAACAGGAAGGGTTGGATTTTATTAACACTTTCTCTCCCATTGCTAAACTGGTCACTGCCAAAGTCCTTCTAGCCATTGTAGCCATAAATAAATGGCACATTATACAACTTGATGTGAACAATGCCTTTCTTAATGGCGATATACTTTGAAGAAATTTATATGGACCTACCTTTGGGATACAATAAACGGGCTGATTTTGGCAATCAAGAGGATCAATTGGTGTGCAAACTCCATAAATTAATTTATGGTCTTAAACAATCCTCAAGGCAATGGTTCTCAAAATTCTCAAGTGTCCTTATTGATCAAGGATTTAGTCAATCAAAGTCTGATTATTCCTTGTTCATAAAAGGATCTAGTACCAGCTTTTTAGGCCTTCTGGTTTATGTTGATAACATAGTTCTCACTAAGCAAGATCAACAAGTCATTGTTTCTTTAAAAACATTCTTACACAGTCAATTTAAGCTCAAGGACCTTAGACAACTAAAGTACTTCCTTGGTTTGGAAATTTTCAGGTTACAAAAAGGTATTTTCCAATCATAACGTCACTACACTCTTCAGCTACTTAAAGATACCAGGTTCCTAGCCTGTAAACCTACTATATTGCCTATGGATCCCAAGCTTGTCTTAGCTCTTTTGAGGGAGAACTCCTTGCTGATGTTTCAATCATGCCAATGGAAGCAGAAAAAGGGATAAACATGCCCATTTGCATCCCCTCATGAGGAATTGCCAAACCATTTGACCCCTTCACCCTTTCCAATAGCAATAGATCGAATTACTATATAAAGAAGAGTGGTTTCATAGCTGATCTGCCGAAGAAAATAAGTTTCTCTATCCAACGGGGTTGGAGTCGTTCTTTTTTGCTCAAATTGTCGAATTTAGAACAGATCAACGAAGGCATATCATGCCATTGGGGGTGACGAGAGATCGTAAGAGTAGCAGGTAACTTATTATACCTTACCACATCTTGCCATATATTACATTTATAGTTCACAAGCTAAATCAATTTGTGTCTCAACCTAGACAACCTCACCTTGATGCGGTTTATCATCTCCTACAATATATCAAGGCTATCTTAGGTTAAGGCATCCTATTTTTTGCACAATCATCTTTCCAGCTTTGAGCATTCTCTGATGCAAACTAGGGATCCTGCCTTGATTCAAGAAAATCAGTCACAGGCTTTTGAGTCTTTCTTGGAGATTCATTGGTCTCGTGGGAGGCTAAGCACCTTGTCCAAGTCTTCAGCTAAAGCAAAATATCATACAACAGCTTCCACGACAAGGTCACTTGTCTTCTATGATAATCAAGCAGCAATTGATATTGTATCTAACTCAATCTTTTGTGAACAAACTAAACACGTTGAAATTGATTATCATTTTGTTCGAGATAAAATCATTGATGGGTTTATCAAATTGTTATCCGTTTGATCCCATCATCAGTTTACCGGTTATTTAGATTTTTCCTTTACTGTCCAAGATGGGAATTATCAACCTCCATGTTCCATCTTAAGGAGGGGTATCAGAATATGCCAGCAGCAGCAACAACATGATGAAGACCAATTGGAATTAGTTAATATAGTTCTAATAGTTAAGACTTTATATTTATATATAGCAGTGTACTATTCCAATTAATGAATAATAATACAATTTCAATTCATTTCTTCAATTTGTTCAATACCCTTAAATAATTATAAATAAATGTGTGGTAGTGATATTTGATTGAATGAAATTCGAAGTGCACGGTGTCTTGACCAAGTCATATAATGATAAGTAGAGTATCATTCTCACGAAAACTATGTACTTAACCTAGGATCAATTAATGTTAACTTTGATCGAATGGCCAAATTTATTTGAAGAATTAATGCTAATTAACTAAAAGCTTTTGTAAATTTAGATAAGATGATTACTGAGACTTCGAATCCCCCTTCTTAATCCATTTTAATACAATTCAATATAATGACAATATGTATGCATTCTTGTTTGGATCAATTAAGCAACAAGCCATTTGTTAAATTATTTTTATGTGATTAGATCAAACAAGTCTGTGGACCTTCAAGATCTAACTTCATTCTTTAGTGTCAGAACTCCAAACACCTCTTTCCAAAATCTTAGTAACTCTGAAAGCTAATTGGTGAAGGTCGATTTGGTGTTTGATCATGGATCTTATGTGTTTTGATCTGTGATTTAAATTGAAGGTTTATAGCTCGATCAACAAATCTAAATTTGAATAAATCTACGAATCAAATAATATGGCGGTTGAATCTCGAAATCAATTAAAGGGATTTGAATCTTCAAATGAATGATCTCTATAGAATAATTATAATTCAACACACTTTTGGGATGTTCATAGGTTAGGATATTTAGGGGAAAGTGTTTGGAATGAAAAGGAATTAAAAAAAATAAATAAATCAGATTTTGAAGCAAAATAGAATTCTGGACGTCGACCTCTTCACTCGAGTGCTAAGTGGGTAGCCAGTGAGCACCACCTGAGCAGTTATCGATATTTTTATTATAATTTTCTTTTTCGATATTCGATTGAGATGATTCAAAATTTGTTGGAAAGCTAAATTAAAGGGATACAATTCTTCTAGAACTAGAAATTTTCAAATTCAAAATTTTCTATCTGAAGAATGCGTTGCAAGTTGTGACTAAAAATTTGGAGCATAGCTTGTGCTAATCTTTCACATTCTTTAGACTTTTAGCTGCATTTTCTTAATAACATTTGATCTTCTTGGACATCTTTGACTTATAAGACCAATCCTTAATTAT